AACTCCTCTCTCCTAAATTATGCAGCAAAATCTACACTTCCTGAGAAAAACTGCAAACTAGTGAAGGATCTGGAGAAGTACACATGAACAGTAAGGGAACTAAGACTAGCATACAAAAGCAGTAGTGCGTCAAAAAGATGACAGCAAACTTTTAACCATCTTTTTCCATATTTGAAGGAGATGCAGAACCTGAGATGTCAAACTCAGGCAGCTTTTTCAGATCCTTTTTTAGAGAGCAGTTAGCTTGCAAGCTTGCTTCTACAGACAATCAAGACTTCAACTTATTTCTCTTTAGAATACCTAATTAATGTTGATATTCAATACAAAAATATTTTTAAATTAATACAGGCTGTAACTCCTCATGCTTTTGGCCTCACACTAAGCATGTGCTACTGGGTGTCAGAAATAAATGTCCTTCATGAACACGCTAACTGAGCACATTGAGGTTTTTCTACCCTTCTCAGAAGCATGCAACTCCAATCTCAACAGGGCACTGTGAAAGGTAAGCTACCTGTCTCAGTTCTGTAATTCTGAATGTTCTGAAGTGGCACACATTGCATGCAATCCTCCAAATGAATCCTTTCCTCTAGCCAAATAATTTCACACCATTCTCCTTTTAATCCTCTGCTCTGGATTTTACCAGGATTTATTATTGAGACTATCTATATAGCCAATTCCCAAGGTTTAGATGAACAGACTTTTTTATAGCTGTAGTTCTTCATCGAAGACCAGCACCATCCCACACAATTTCTTCCATCTATACCAACACTACACTTTAGCAAGTGATCGTTCTCTTTGCCAAAACCTCAGAAGAGATCTGATCTCTATTCTGTTCCAGAAGAATCAATTTATCGTTCCAGAAATGGACTGCAAGAGTCTTTAATATAATTTTTAAATGTAATCGGCCCATACTGTCCCCCTTTCAAACAGCAGAAGCTCTACCAGTGTTGAGTTTCTGGCTATTTTATGTGTCAGTAACATCAGCATTCACCTTTGCAGATGTTTCAATATAAATCTGTAATGCCTTCTTACAGTCAGATGATCTACTTTTTCCAATCGAATCTCTCTTGCTCTCGCCACACCTTCTTAACAACCGCTTCTGGGCCCTTCGCAGTCTTATGGTTAAACTAGTAGTTCTTGTATCAGTTTAATACAAAACTGGCACTGGGAGGTTTCTGCCACTCCAAATTCTCACTCTGTTGTGTCCACTTCCCATCCCAGAAACTTTCTTCAAGTGACTGTGTCATTTGTGCTTGCAGACTGAAAGAATGCATGATTTCTAGTAGTTCCCTATGGCCCTACCAGAAACAAGCTAGCTTGCTAAACTTGTAGTTCTAGTTATTATCCAGCTGAAATAAGTACCAGATAGTCTGCAACTAAGAAAAGGAAGAAAGTAAGTCAGGTATACTAGTTGCAATAATAAAGTTGCTAAAGTTAAACAATTAAACACAGTTCATTTTTTCTTATTTAATAAATAATATAAAAAGAGTGAACCGGTTCTTTTTTTTTTTTACATTATTGGAAAAAAAAACAGTTTCTTATCTAACTCCAGCAATAATACAAGCAATAATGAAACCGATAGAGACTTTTGGGTGGACATTCCATATCCCGTTTAAGTGGAGTCCAGTGTGCACAGCCTCACAACTACTGATGACTTTTCCACTCCTGGGGTTGGTCTTCTTTTGTGCTGTTCTGGTTCCATAGATGACCCCACTGTTCATTTGTAAACAAGAAAAAAAAAAAATCATATTCCTTGGTTAACATTGAAAAAAATCCACAAAAACGTAGCAAGTTTCAACACCTGATCAAATCTGAACTACTTTTAAGATATCGTCATACAGATGTTCAATTATCTTTGTCACATCAACAGTAACATAGCATTCTATCTTTAGCCTTGTAGAAAAAAATGAAACCCAGTATTGTATGCACGTACAGACACAGAGTACACTTGACAAAAACACTTTTATGTGGTTTACATTTAACTTTTATTTAATCCTCAAAACTGCCCATATTGCAGGGTTTTTTCTTGATGAAATATGGAACTGAGCAATTAACTCTACAAAATTATGGTAAAAACTTGCTCATTTTTCTACCTTATTGCTAAGAAACTTTACAGGTGCAGTTTGTAAAAATAACCCTTTTAAGACTGAATGTACATACATGCTACAGGATTTTTTAAAAAATGACATTAGCATAGCACCTCCAGATGGGGCAAATGCAGTGCTGAACACAGACAGAACGTTTAGAGAGTCAGAACCGCTCATTTATTTTACAGCTTCTAAAGGGAAGAAATTGTTCAGTCCTAAAAGGGTTAAGTAGAAACCCTAATATACTACTTTCTCTAACAAAGCTGCCATTCAATCCCACAGTACAGTGCTTGAAAACAAAGTCAAAAGTCTGGCACAGGAAAGTATACACATTTGTTCAGTACTCAAACACAGCTGCTTTTGAAAGAAAGTAAATAATACGGTTCACAATTGAAGAGCATCTTAGTTTCAAGGTAGACACCTCTATGGAGTCATTTAATCTATAAGGGGGTAGCTCACTTCCAATAGGTAACTTTTTTCATGCGGCATAAATATTTTCTACATGGGGAATTCACTGATTTATGTCTTGAGTTCATGTCTTTTCAGGTAACCATTCTGATCTTGTAAGTCTGTGCAATGAAACAAAGTATTATTAACACAGTTGTGGGATGCCTTCAGGGCAAATAATTAGGAAAAACAGCAGCACCAGATTATTAAAGACTAAGCTAGTGTTGAATTCTGAAATGCAGTTCCAAACAAAAGAAAACAAGAAAAGGCATAGCTAAATTTGAGCACTTAATTTGCTTCTTCTTCCTATTGTTGGAACTATAACAACATTCTGAACACAGACTCAACTTCTATGTATATAGAATTAACAGCAGACTTAACAGCTAGACTTGAACAGTTATAATAGTTTCATATTGAAACATTCTAAAAGTTGTTTTATCAAAATCTTGAGATATTTTTAATATCATGAAAACTTATTAACACCTCACAAGGCCAATAAATGTAACAATATCACCCCACAGGACAAACTTCAGGAAGATAGTATATCTGAACAACTGGACATGTTAACAACAGTAAGGACCTGGAAGACCGTTTCTGTACTACAGAATATCTACTGGCAACAATGAAGCCACCAGCCCAAGGGAAAAATGGCCTTTAAAATGGTCTTATAAGCAGATCTTAATAGTCTCTTATTCTCACCCACTTGGCTGTAGTGTGTAGAACAGCAGAAATTAGGCTAAGTTGGTTAGGTTCTTTACAAGTCAAGGAATATTACATCTATTGGGCAAAGTTATTGCAAGTAAAGAAACTGAATATAAAAAGTATTGCATTTCTATGCAAAAAAAAATAAAATAACGAGTATAAAAGCAGGTGTCAAGTTCTGAAAAGCTATTTTAAACAGTCTTTGAAGGTTAAAAGGCTTGTTATGGTTTGACTACTGTGTGGTTTGTTCTTGAATACCCTCTAAATCCAATACATATATCGCTCATTTTAATTCTCAGTCTAATTAGTGATGAATATCTGTGGCTCTTGAATTAAGCCGTACTGTAAGATACTTATGTGCTTCTAACAAAAACACTGTGAAATGATTCCTCCCACAACACAACTACAACAAAATTTTATAGCACATACAAAGGTAAACAGATTTGCAAGTAAATACCAGTAAACAGTTTAAAACAGAGATAAGGCCACAATGAATTCTGCCCTTGGTCACTGAAACAGAGATGAGGTGAGGCAGTATTCACTAGTGCTAAGAACCAGCATTGCAACTATGTCATGGGAGTAAGTTTCATAATACAGAATAGCAAATAGGAAGACCTGTGGTAGAATACAAGCACATTTTAGGACAGTGGCACTGATTTTACTATTAGCTAAATACGCTTTATAACTGATTTCTTCCTTTAACCACATTATTTTCACACATACAATGAAGCACTAAAGCAAACAAGTAGAATGGAGCGTCAGAGTACACAAATATGGTGCAGAGACAATGTTTTAAAATGGTGGTGGATGCTTTAAAATGGTGGTGGGTGTTTAAACTGGAATAAGTGGTCAGAAATAAAAGCCCTAAGAAAATGGTCAACACATATGCTTGTAAGCAATGCACTGTAGGAAGCCATGGGTTCACATTTACACAGCAGTTGTGGCTCTTGCTTCAGGGTATAGAAAAGGCTGAACACACTACAAGACTTGTATTTTGGCTTTTACAGAGGAAGATCACACTATCAGAACTTGTCCTACAAGTCTATGCCTAGTTCTGTGACTACAAATGAACTACTGGGGTATACTTCCAAATACAAATGAAGCAGGCAGGTCTACATGGAGGGACAAAACATGGCAAAGTCAAAATGAGAAATAAATGCAACAACCAACAAAGTCAAAGTGCAAATGAGCCTTGAATTTATGATGGAGAGAAAAATTGAATGTTGCACAAGCTGTTGGCAGGGAAAGAGAAACCCACAGGAAAGAAGGATGGGAGAAGCTGACATCTTCATAGTGCTTTTACCATCTTCTATTTGCCCATTTCTAAGTAATAAAATTTACTTCTAGTTATTATGGTATGATCACTTCACAATGAAAGCACGTTCTCAACACAAGTGTTAACACCAAAGTCTGGCCTAATTTACTGAACAGTATGAAGAAAAACATGCTTGTTGTGATTCTCAAGTGATGAAGGGCATCACCGACCAATCCCATTCGTAGCACATACTTCTTATGGTATTTTAGTTACATGCCAACAAGACAGAAGACATGCTGCCAAATGAAGTTATTGGGAACATTCCGCTTTCAAAATAAAACATTTAACTTACACTTAATACAAATTATGTACAAGATTAGAAAAACCTGAACAGATCCTGAAACATTTTCAGATGCAATATGACTGAGCAAGGAAGAGGGGGAGTAACCCAGTAACAACCCTTCAAAAACACCAACGTATGCCTGTGACATGAGCAATCATTAATATGACTGCTTGAGATGCCACTTAGAAAAACAAACTCATGTAATGTTAGAACCTCATGAATTATCACTATAAATACATATTTAAAAAAGGAAACCAGAAATAACTATTAACAATGACTGAAAACAGAGCACTAAAGTTAACATACATTGCATGTATTGCAGGCAAGGCAGAGGCATTTTTTAAAGCTTTTGCACAGACTTCATATAATCTTAAAAAAAATATGCTGGCCTTTACAAGGTTCTACTTGCTGAAATAAAAACAATTTCAGTTCATAAAAAGTCACAAGACTTCAGTTTAAAAAAAGGAACAGTTCCAGCCACAGACCAAAAATATATATATATTTTTTTAAAACTGGAAGAGTATGGTAATTAGATTATACAAGCATGGTCAGGCTTGGAACCTGAATATACTTCAGAGCAAAAGCTCAGAGGAAAAAAAAATATAAACTATTTGGTAACAAAAGTGTACTATACGTTGTGATACAAAAAAGGTATGGTGAAAATGTACCTTTTATACTAAAGCTTATACAAGTTTCTTGGTCCATAAAAACTATTTTGTGTTCATGTTTTCTAGTTTGCTCAACATGTATCCCAGCCACATTTTTTGTTTCTTGCCCATTAAAAAAAACAGCTGAAAAATAGATTTTCAATAAAGTTCTTACGTTTTGGATGTTTTTTTTTTTTTTTATTGTGGCTTCTATATTTAAGATCAGCACTTGCAGGTAACAAGGTTCAAATAATATCACCTAAAATGGAGAGGTGTTTTCCCATGAAACCACAAAAATTGTTCAGTTCTCTTGAATGGAGCACTTAAAAGTCAGTTAAAGTCCGGACAAACGACAGTAGTTAGGAAACTACAGTTGCTGTAGATGATGTGACATTGGTTGGATTTGTGCTGACGTTTGTGTAACTTCCCTCGCTGTTTGTATTTGTTTCACTGGAAGCCACGAGGCTTGAGTTGGCTCTGAGGATTGCTCCAGCAGCACTGCAGTGTGGTCGTGGCCCTGGTTCCGGTGTGTATGTAAAGGTAAGGCTGGTGGAGTAAATTATGCCATCGTTACGGACCAAAGTTACTGGAACCTGGACTGGCTGGGGGGGCCACCTCCAACCCTCTCGAAATGCAGAAATGTCTGGAACAACACATAGCATGCTCTCTGCGCATCTGAAAAACAGGAAAGTCAACTAAGCATAATAAAACTTAAGCTTAAAGAATAGAACAGAATAGCTCAATTGGAAGGGACCTACAACAATCATCTAGCCCAATTCAGTGCTGACCAAAAGTTAAAGCATATTATTAAGGACATTGTTCAAATGCCACTTAAACCCGGACAGGAATGAGGGATCAACCACCTCTCTAGGAAGCCTGTTCCAGTGTTTGACCACCCGCTTGGTAAAGAAACATTTCCTAACACCACGTCAGAACCTCCTGGGTGCAGCTTTGAACCATTCCCATGTGTCCTGCCCTTGGATAATCAGGTAGAAGAGCTCAGCACCTCCCTCTCCACTCCCCCTCCTCAAGAAGCTGTAGAGAGCAACCAGGTTGCCCCTCAGCCTGCATTTCTCCAAACCACACAATCCCATAGTCCTCAGCCGCTCCGCACAGGCCATGCCTTCCAGCCCTTCACCAGCTTTGTTGCCCTCCTCTGGACACATTCAAGTACCTGAACATTGTCCTTAAATTGTGGGGCCCAGAACTGCACACAGTGCTCAAGGTGAGGCTGCATCAATCCTAAATACAGTGGGATAATCGCCTCTCTTGACCAGCTGGATGCGGTTTGCCCTCTTGGCTGCCAGGGCACACTGCTGACTCATATCGAGCCTGCAGTCAACCAGCACTCCCAGGTCCCTTTCTGCAGGGCAGAAAGTGTACACTTGAGTGTATACACGTAAGTATACACTCTTCAAAGCATCCGATAAGATGTAATCACCATGAAAGTAGCAGGAAGTACTATACCTGTACATGGTTTCAGCTTCCACATCCCCAAACCAGACACGTAAATTTGGAGTGAAGTTCTGTCCTGTAAGTTCCAACATTGCTACATCCCCGCCACCATTCAACTGGAAAGGGAGTGAATAGAAAAAAGAAGAAAGTCCACAAAAAAAAATGTATTAATAAAAACAAACACCCTCTCTCAGAAAAAAAAAATTAAAAAAAAATTCTTCACATGCATACAAAAACTGTAAACAGTGCTGTTTCTATCAGCTGGATAAAACTGAAACAAACACACCTACACAACTGAACTGCAAAAAAGCAACACATCTAAAAGATACTGCCAATTAATCTGACAACTGAAGGAACTTCAAGGTTTTGATAGTGGCCACTTAGAACAGAAGTCAACAAGGCTTTGAAAACAAAGGACAAAGAATCTTTCACAGAATGTGTTAGGAGATCTTCATTTTTTTCACAGCAGAATGCTGATTTTCTTAACGTGGTTTCAGTCTGGCTCTCTTTGCTCTGTAACTGGCACTTTGAAGAGCACAAATCAATTTCTTAATCATCAGAGGTAGAAGTTCTAAGGATATCACTACCATAGTATTTTAAAAAATAAAATTCTGCACGTATAGAACAATATCGAATAGTATTCTTGTCATGGACAGGCTCATGTATTCTGAAACATAGGTGAAGAAAAATTATTGCAACATGAAGTAATTTTCCTATTTATAAAGCTAGCAAGAATGTTTTCCTACAGTATTCCACAAAGGTACAAAGAAGGTTAAATCAGTATGACAAAAATAATCTCACACAAAAGAGTTTATTAGAAAAAACAAACTTACCTGAAGACTTTCTACAACAGGCACAGGTGTCACTGGTGCATGGACAGGTCCCATCCCCTCATAAAATGTGTATTCTGCTTTATCTGTGCTAATGATTGTCCAAGAAGCTCCATCATTAATCATTTCTTTATTTGGTTCTTTTGGGCATGGAGTGGCCTTAGAAAGAAAGAAAGGTAAGGTTTAAATCTGACCTGTAGACTTGTTTCCCAAGTCACAGAGCTAAAAACCAACTCAGCCAGTAACAATCTCTGTTATTTCAAAAATGTGTTTCCTTACGTTTTTCCTCTAACAAAATGACCTAGAGAAACAGCCACACACATTTCAGCAAAACTAGTAGAAAACTAAAACTTGTGAGGACACTGTACCTCTCACCTATGATACTGTCATCTCTCCAAACTTCTGTTTATTATTGGGTTTTGTTTTAGTTCAGCTTTCAAAGTTTTAACATTACTCAACAGCCATTAACCAACAAACTACAGCAACTAGAAGTAGTGACTTCAAAATAGATCTTCTTTTATTAACGCCAAGTGACAAAAACAGCTATGGACTGAAGTGGAACACTTTTCCTCAACTGTGATTTACATCTTTTTAGCCAAGATTTTGTTTTCTTTGCAGAGAGTTGTTCACCATCCACATGATGGAAAACAGAAGCTTGTATTTCTGTGTTTGTGCACAGACGTGGGAGAGAAGCTGAAATGACAATCTTGCTAATTAGTCAGAAACCTTCACTGTCTCCTTGTAAATACAACTAAATATTACTAAATTAGTATACATACATATATACATAGATAGAAAATACAGTAACAACTATTTTCTATGGCAACAAAAGCCTCTCTGAACAATTCCATCATCTAGCAATAAACAAGCAAGTTGTGTACAGGTTAAACACATGCACAGAAAAAAATGGGACTCAAAAATTTTACTTTTAATACCTAATTTCCGTTTTCTTCAACTAAACTTTAAAGATATCTATGTATATGTAACCATAACTTTCACGCTTCAAAACTGTTCTATAAACTTCAGTTAGCACAAATATACCAGTTCAGATGAAAGGAAGTTAAGATCAAAACTGCATACTCGTGTGGTCTCTTCATTCTGGTATGATCACGTAAAAAAGCACTAAGAACAGCTTGCAAGGCAAGTGTGTAACAAGGATAGTAACTACAGATCTTTTCAAGCTCAAGACCGAACTGATATTTTTAATGGAAATATATGGAGCTTCTAAATTACTAGCCAAACTTCAGAAGAGGAACTGTTGTATACTATTTTGACACGACATTTTTCCTATAGGTTGACTAAAGTCCCTGTAGGCATAGGCTGACGTACTGCAAATCATGACAAATAAAAAAATGGATATCAAAAATCACAGAATCAAAGAATGGTAGGGGTTGGAAGGGACCTCTGTGGGTCATCCAGTCCAATCCCCCTGCCAAAGCAGGGTCACCTACAGCAGGCTGCACAGGACTGCGTCCAGGTGGGTGTTGAATATCTCCAGACAAGGAGACTCCACAACCTCCCTGGGCAGCCTGTTCCAGTGCTCCGTCACCCTCAGAGGGAAGAAGTTCTTCCTCATGTTCAGAAGGAACTTCCTCTGCTTCAGTTTGTGCTCATTGCCCCTTGTCCTGTCGCTGGGCACCACTGAAAAGAGTCTGGCCCCATCCTCCTGACACCCACCCTTCAGATATTTATAAGGTCCCCTTCTCAGCCTTCTCTCCTTCAGGCTCCCTCAGCCTTTCCTCATAGGACAGATATTCCAGTCCTCTCATCATCCTTGTAGCCCTCCATTGGACTCTCTCCAGTAGCTCCTCATCTTTCTTGAACTGGGGAGCTCAGAACTAGAAGCAGTACTCCAGATGGGGCCTCACTAGGGCTGAGAGGAGGGGGAAGAGAACCTCCCTCGACCTGCTGGCCACACTCCTCTTAATGCACCCCAGAATGCCATGGACCTTCCTGGCAATCAGGGCACACTGCTGGCTCATGGTCAACCTGTTGTCCACCAGCACTCCCAGGTCCCTCTCTGCAGAGCTGCTCTCCAGCAGGTCCGCCCCAAGCTTGTGCTGCTGCATGGGGCTGTTCCTCCCCAGGTGCAGGACCCTGCACTTGCTCTTGTTGAAGTTCATCAGCTTCCTCTGTGCTCAAGTCTCCAGCCTGCCCAGGTCTCACTGAATGGCAGCACAGCCTTCTGGTGTATCTACCACACCTCCCAGTTTGGTGTCATCAGCAAACTTGCTCAGGGTACATTCTAACTCTTCATCCAGGTCATTGATGAAGAAGTTGAACAAGACTGGGCCGAGTGCTGACCCCTGGGTGATACCACTAATTACAGGCCTCCAACTAGACTCCGTGCCATTGATGACAACCCTCTGAGTTCTGCCATTCAGCCAGTTCTCAATCCACCTCACTGACCACTCATCCAGCCCACACCTCCTGAGCTTCCCTATGGGGATGTTACGGGAGACAGTGTCGAAAGCCTTGCTGAAGTCAAGGTAGACAACATCCACGGCTCTCCCCTCATCTACCCAGCCAGTCATGCCATCATAGAAAGCTATCAGATTGGCCAAGCAAAAAAATGAATGACCCCTGTACAAGATCCCTGACTGGCTTCTTCAGATCTGCTAAACCCCTGCCACAAAGCAGAAGGCAAATGCCACAGAATTTGTTCTGGAAGTCCTGCTATGTGAAGAAGCATTTCAAGAAAAAATTACTTCTCCTGTAACAGAAATCCTTGAAAGATTATAATTCCTCTTCTAGAGAAGCATTCCTCCCTGTCACTTCCATCTACATTCTTTCTGTATTCTCCAGAATACACGGACATCTATCTTTAAAGAGAAATCTGGCTGGTACTTCAGCAACTGAATTTCAAGGTTTTTGTAGGTTCATGCTGACCTGATGACTTTTTACAGTATCTCTGCTTTAAGCCTCTAAGGTCTCTGTATTAGGCTACTTCCATTCACCCAAGAGAGATTTGTCACCCTCAAGTAAAGTTTGAGGGGTTTTTTTGTGGGTTTTGGTGTTTTGTTTTTGTTTTTCTTTTTTCTTCCCCAGTGATCACAGTCTGTCTAGACTCCTTCTATAGGAACTGTATTCAACTGTAAATGCTTAAGAGCAGGCAGGTGAAACATGGTACACATGCCTGTTTCTCTGATCTTGGTGTTCTGGTCCAAAGGAAAAAACATATAAAATGCGATTTCTCTTGCCACTGGTAGAAAGAGTTTGTCTTCCACAGGGATTTCACTTACCAAAGAGTGATAACAGCCTGATGTGCAAGTTAACAGATTTTATTCAACAAGCAGAAGCAGCAGGCACCTACTCCACTAAAAGAAATCAAAATAGTGGGTTGTCCTTTTATCTAAGTCCCACCCATGTGAAAGTTCAGAGCTCTTATCAGATTCGGCTCCATCAGTGCTGCAGAAACTGAAGAATGGTAGGATGTCTTGGCAGTTCCACAGGCAATTCCGGGATGTTGAACTAAGGCAGCTGCCAGAAAAGCAGGGAGTTGCTTTTTCATTCAGCCCTTCCCATAAAGTACTTTGACAAAGATCAAATAGCAAGATTGATTCCCAGTTATTGCGATTCCCATGTCGTAGCTTTCTCCTTGATGAAGGTCTGTTCTCCTTTACAAGAAAATACGTTGACAGATGTATCTCTGCTATGTGCTGTGGGTAGGACCAATAGATCTGGTCCCTTCAGAGCCACAAGTCATGAATATGCCTCCTGAAATAGGAACAAATCTGCTCATATTCTCTTTCCATTGTCCCAATTCAGGACAGCAGCCAACTGAGCCTTCTTGTCCCTTCAGTTACGGGAAAACTTTTAAAAAGTTAGCTTCCCCCCTTCCTGCCTCTACCCTTCTTACCCAAGAAGCTACAGCTGTTCCCCTAAGGAAGTCCTAAGTCTTTCCTGAGTGCGGCCATCTTCCTGGAGCACAGCATTATCTCTAAACACCCTGTGCTATTTGAGCTGCCTTGGATGCTTAGAGAAAATTGCAATACTTAGGTAGGCCTGAAATTGGTCACAGTCTTCTTGCTCCAATGGGAATCATCATGCTGAAAGTCTGCTAAAAGCATAACAACATACATAAGACTAAAAGTGCAATTTATTAGCACATTGTGTAAGCTGTCAGAGTAACTGTATACAGTGGTATTTTTATACATCTCTCCCTAGGGGTTCATTCCTGTTAGGGTAACTTGCTAGCGATACTTTCCTCCACCTGCTGGAGAAACAAACACTTGAACACTGAGACAGCTACATTCTTTACAGACACACCAAATTGCTGTCGCTTTACAAATTACTGTGGTCCACTGCCATAGCTGTCTATGCTCTTAGCCAAGAGCAAGACAGTGTACCTCTGCTAAGTTCATCATGAAATAAGACTATCATAAACTGTATTGTTTCCTGTTTGCTGTAATCTAGAAATGGATACACAAGTGGCTCAACTCCACTGACATATGTCAACATGTTAAGCCACAGTATCAGGACTGCGTGCACAAGTTCCTAGTATGTTTCCATTTCTTCTGTTGGAGAAAATACAATTCATTTCCAGACAGACACGGAAGAAGGCTATGAGGAAAGAAAAACTGATTTGGAAAGGGACAGAAAGTTCATTGCTTTCCATCCTGTCTTTTCAAAACAAACTATTAGACTTGCATTCAAAACCAACTGCAAAACTGGCATTCATACATACTTTGGGAATATTTGGGAAAACTTCGCAACCACACTTCTCACCTATTGAAATATGTTTAAACAACTCACTTGAAACTGGATTATTCTCTCCTGGGAAAGGCACAAATACATTCTCTCAGTGTCTTTAAGGTAAAATGCGCATTTATGGAGCTGCGATACTGGATCATCTGCATCCAATAACGCTGTTTGTTTATCTACTTTTCGAATTATCTGTGAATGAAAATCATATATGTATTTAGGACAATTTCTGTACTTCATTACATTTGAGATTACATATGTCATGTCAGTAAAGGAAGTGAAAGGTCATTTTTAAAATCTAATTTTCATGCCTCCTGTTTCGATACCAACATTAGATTCATAATTCTCAAAGCTTTTGAAAGAAGAACACAACACTGAAGTGACACTCAGTACTACAGCTTCAATGTGCTGCATGCATATATATTTCATCTTTTTTGCTACAGGAGTGTGGAAAAAAATTGAAGCTTCAGCAAAATCTACTTTTGTTCCATTTCCTGCTACTGAAGAGCAGTAGGTCAAGTATTAATAGACTTCTACAGAAGCTTCCACCATTGATAGCATCAACAACATTCTGTGGCAGACTGGTTGCTGAACAAGAAAAGCTGAAAATAAGAATTTACTTTACAGGTATTGAGATGTCCTTAAGTATAATTTTGCAAACGCAACAATCATAGCATATATTAACAATAGTTGGTCATTAAATATTTAAGACAACTGCAAAGAACAATTGTTTCTCACAGCTGGCAGTTCAGTCAAAAAATATCTGCTGAATTAATTCAGAGCTGTTACACTACTTTATTTTTAAAAATTAAAAAAGTTATTCCCTTACAGACAGTGGAAATCTGTAGCTTGGAATTTTAACTCAACTTTCAGAAAAAAGTTTAATACTTCATTTTATGCAACATCAGCAGAAGCAGCAGCCAAAGTGCTTGAAGATTTCTAAGCCGACAATCAGAAAGCCAACCATGTCCTCTGGGATTTCTAATGATAATAAATGGCATTATTAGCAATATAAGTTTCAAGGATAACCTGTTTCTTCAAAGTTCTTTGCATTAACTGATAAAATGTCTGCAAATTACCTTTTAATTAGATCACCTTCAATCAATCTTGCAAGGCAGCACGATAAACGTTCCCAACAGCAAACAAAACAGGAACCTTTATCCTAATTTGTTTTAATCTATGTCTATCTACAAACAAGGTTTTTGGAATCATAAATAATGGTGTCTCCTTTCAGCAATAAGAAAATATTAACTTCAAGCCCACAAATGAAGTGAGATTCTCTTACTGACTTTCATGCACACTGAACCAGAACAGTAGTAACTGGGTCTGGATTTTTCTGTCAAATAATGTGACTTAAACAACAAAAAACCAAACAACCACCAACCAAAAAAAAGACATGAACTTAAATTATCTTTTTATACCATTTACTCTGAGCAGGCTATCTTCCTTTTTTCGCTAAGTTTGCTATTGGGAGAGAATTACTCATTACAGTCCTAGTAAAATAAGTATGGGAACAGGAATAAAAATCTGCCTGCATGGAAGGTAGGTTTTACACTGGCGCATTTTAAAAATTATTTCCAGTTAAAAGTGAAATTAGCAATGGGCTGACAAACCACTATTTCAGAGAAGATCTCATATGAAGCATTGTTTATTATCAGTCACAAAATTCCACTTAGGGCGGCATTAAGTGCATAAAACAGAAGGAAAAAAAATCTATAATTCTACTTAAATTTACTTATAAAAACCATTACTGTGTATCCAGCAGTAAAACAATTTTTTGGTTCACAAACCTCAAGCAGTTATAATCAATTTTGTATCAGTGGCAAAGACAAGGGCTGAAATTGTCTCTTTCTAAAAAATGTTATTCCAAAAGCACTTCCAATGTTCCATGCTTAAAACAGACAGTATTAATAAGTGTCCAAAATGCTTTTGCAAACTGGTATCAGTATAATTATGTATTCTTAGACGTACACAGAAGTGCTTTTAGATTCAAATCAGTAGAGCATTTTTAAAGCTGTCCTGAACTCAACAAATGGAATAGTCCTACTGGTTGCAAAGACTTTACTCATCTACTCATTATCAATATTTAAAGTATTTTGCTACATTGAGACCTACATTACTGTTTTTAAAATAGACTTCTTCTTAAGGATAGCTTGCAGATTAACCTACTTTGGCAGTTATGAATTCTGAAAAATTCTCCATGCTTATTTTACAAGCTGTTCTTTGCTTACAGAATTAATCTGCAGATATAGAAATACGCTTTTATTAAAATGAATGCCATTTTCCATATAAACCATGTTATTACCAAAAGGAAACATACAAAGCCAAAAATTGTTAACAATGCAAACCCAATTATGCAATTACACCAAGCAGCCATCTACAAATTAATTACAGCATTGGAGAAATTTAACTGTACCAGTCTTGGGAGTGCCATGCCAGTAACTGAGCAGACAAGTTTGACAGTCTGCCCATAATGAATGTAGCCATCTCTCACTGTGAATTCTTCTCCTTCTGATTCATCATCATCCACTGCATGAAACAGGAATTTTCACATTAGTTGTTTTAATCACTGTTTTCCTCAATAGGAGGAACATTTAGTATCACGCTACTACATCAAATGTACACTCAGTAAGAAAACAAATCTGCATATGGGCAATTAATATAATATGGAGGAAAAAACGCAGGACTCATGTAGGGATGGAGGGAGGGAGGTGACAAAAACATATTGCTTCATTTTTACTTACAGAGGTGAATGTAAAATGCTCCCCACTGTTGTGAACTGGCATGGAAATTGCCACCTTCTACGTGCAAATATCTGGTGCTAACTGTTTGGGATCGAAGTCTATTAAATAGTGCCACTTTTGTCCCTGATGCAATACATACTGTAAGGAACACATACAGACTTGAGATTATAAAATTACTTCATTATTACATACAAAAGTAACAAGAAGTCACAAATACAGTAAAATAAATTAATGAATACTGGAAATCAAGGAATAATTCTGAACTATTGGTGAATTTAGAAAATATCTGTATTTGTGACAGACCAAAAATAATCACAAAATTACAAGTGGGATAATGTACATAGTGGCTGTTCTCCAAAGGCATGCTAGTTCACAGAATTTTGCCACTTCGCCAAATGGGCCAGTGCTTGCCAGCTGAAAACTCCTTGTGTTCATAGTTCTCCAACAATTGATTATTTGAGCAGAAGCTTTAGCTTGCCCTTGTGAAGTACTTAGACAACTTTCAGTGATCATTTGATGTATAAAGAAAAATTATTCTTATAAATCACAATCGATTGAAAGGAAGACAGACAGAACTATGTAAAATTGTAACCATGCAACTTGAAATTCTCTCATATTTGCACTTACTTATCATTCAAGAGAGAGAAATGCTATGTCTGCTCCCCTAAAAAAAAAAATCAGCAAGTAGCATTTTGCCATCAAAACAGGTATGTTTCTTCTACTTGGTTCATATCTACTATCGAAGAATGCTTGGTTCGTATCACTGTCCATCACAACTATCTGTCTGTACACAAAGTCAACCATGCATACTCTGAGCCCACGGGTGTGAACTGCACAGCAACAGATTGCCTTTAGTCATGCGGCAAGCTAGCAGGCGAGATCCACATTCCCTAGGTGAATGGGTTCCAGCCCAACACAGATGGAAGAGCCTTTTAAAGCACTAATGAAGAGAGCGCGAAAAACAAACAAACAAAAAAAGGGTATCTCTTGAGGTATGCAGGCAAAAACTTTGGTGGAAAAGCAAAAATGCTCACAATTATACATTAACACCAGAGATGTATTTAGTTAAAAAAATAAAAAGTAAGCAAATAAATCTGAGTGAAATATCACCGTACAGATTTCTTAACCAATTACTTAAAAGGAACCATGCAAAACATGTTAAAAATAAAAACAACATGAAAATGGCATGAGACAGTAAGAAGGTGGCTGTGATGTGAAGTGCAGTTTGGATAACATTATGCTACTCATTTACCACAATCTGAAAGCTATCTTTGATACTGATCAAAACATCCTAAGCACCAGATCATGGCAGCTTAAGAGATCCAACAGTTAGAAAGCTCAGGCAGAGCATTCTTCGTGCATTTGTCTACAAGGATTCATTCCTCAGAATAAAGTTTTTTTGGTGGACCTTTTATATTTACTGAATAATTAACTATGACAGCATAAAACTCAACAGTGCAACCTATCTATATTGGAATACTTTAAAATACATTGATGTGTACTGTTCTGAAATACATTAGAAAAAGCAGAAATTGAAAATTTCATTGTATTTACTTCGTAGTCAGACGTCAGAATACATAACAAAAAATCAGTAGGAGGCAAAATGAATTGCTACATAAAGAAAAGAACTGCAAAATACTTACAGTCTGCATTTTTCAGTGACTGTTTCTTTTTAGAAGGTTTGGAGATGACTTTGATCCGTTTACTGAGGAACACACCGATGTCATCACTATTTCCATAGAACATTTTTACCGATAACATGAAGTGCTTTCTTTTGTCCGAGTCTGATATGTATAATGTTTTGGCAGTGCAATAATTCTGCAGGTGAAAACATACTGTTGTTTCTTCTTTTAGGCCAACCCAGTTCAAGAAACCACGTATGTTTAATTTTGAACAAATTAGGAAAATTGATGCAACAGTTGCTAAAACAGATCAGAAACCGCTTTTTCCATCACTTCCATATGGATATTTTTATGACTACTGTTTAGCTTTGTGAAGTTTGGCACCTGGCTTCAGCCCTTTAGCGTCTTTCGAAAGACCCTTACCAGGACTGCAAAACAGATGACTGGAGACTATAGCTGTGTCAAAGCTATCTCTGAGTAGTTAAGAGCACTACTAAAAATTACATTTCAGTAGCGCTGTACAGGCCGTACACTGGGCATGCACAAGATGCTGCCTGTGCAGAAAATGTGAGCCAAATTGAGCCAAACTTTTCTTCAAAGGATGGGACACAATTGGGTTTTGAAACACTAGAAAGTTACTTTTGACTACCTGTTCACGCTAGGTGACAACAGGAGCTTGGAAAAAAAAAAACCACCTCAAAAAGAACTTTTATTATTCTTTTCCTATTCAGCAACATATGAAGCATTTCTAAGCAGACTGGGTAGCTAGGTAGCTATAAAATGCCGCTTAATAAAACCACCAGCTAAAATGAGCACTCACATGCTGCCAGTTGTATTCCAACTCTTTACACAAATATCTTTAAAAAAATCTTGTAGCAATTTATATCACTGCAAAAAAATAATCTACAAAATATATTAAGATGCTTTTTTAAGTGTATCGTTATGGAAATGTACTCAAAGACTACTTCTAGTAACAGATGTTGTTCAGACACTTCCTTGATGAGATTATCCATGCATGCAAGTCAGGGAAACGGACATGGAGTCTGGGCCAGAAGCCTTACTCCAGTTAACCCCTGATGCCTACGAAATAAGCTAACAGTTTAGTGACTCTGAATCAACAACCTACAATGAAAGGGTAGTGCCCTGCCACGATCTCACAAACCAAATCCACATATTCCATTGTCCTACATATTTTTGAGGGATTTTTTTAAAACCACTTATGTAACATCTGCTACAGTGCAACAAAAGTAATCAAAAATAGGCAAGGGTATTCCTTGAAATATGCACCATGTAGCTATAACATCCTTTGCAGTAATCTGAGCGATTTATTACAATTAGTCTACCTTTCCTTCCAAGTTCAGTTGCTGCATTTCTTGGTCGCTGTTTCCTATTCCAATGAAGGCGCAAGGTTGTGACTCTTGCTCAGTGCAACCATCCCGTTCCATTTGCTCTTTTTTTTTCTTCCATCCACTGCCCATAAGATACACACACGGAGGAGGACAAAAGAACCTGAAAACGAGAAATGCATTATGAGATTACACACAACTTCCAAGAAAACTCTAGAGACAGAAGAAACTGCTGTGCACCCAAAGCTTTCTCAGCCCCTTCACACTTTGCATTCGAGTTTATACGTGCATGTCCTTCATTTGCCTTGAAGATTTTCTAAAACGCAAATCAAAAAAAGAGAAAAAGCAAGGAAAATCAGCATTAGCTGCACTGTCAGTAAGTATCTTTCCAGTTCTATAGACCATGGGTAACAGTCTGCATCTCTGTAGAATGAAATGCTTTCTACCCTTACAAGAAAATAAAAAGACCTTGAACATGATGACAGTGTTTTGCTTTTGTAGGTGCTTAACATGATGCAGCAATTAATACACACGGAACAGTTTCACAAAATAATTTAATGGACAACTGCTGACTACAATTCCTAAACATTTAGTGTTTCATCAGTAGCAAGGAGGGAGTCTATCCTGTTCAAACATAAATACAAAGACTTGCAATCGTTTCAGTTAATGCGCACAATTAATGCATATTCTTTGTTAGAGAAACAATCAAATTTTAAGTTTTATTATAATTTAAAATGTCTCAGTGCTTATGCTAATGAGCAAAAATTATTGCCTGCAGGAAAAAAAAAATCACTTTCTATCTCACCAATAAATGCATAGTGAACATTTTTCCCTTCACTCTGTTTAAAACACAGCAAAACTGACAATATACCAATATACATACAGCTTAAGTATCTATGAATGTCTTTCAAAAGTATCATGCTCTGGTTTGAAAAACAACAGCATACAAAAGAGAATTTGTAGAAAGTAGTTCGTTCCATGACATCAAAAGATTTGCATGTTTGAGAAGCCCATTAAATTAATTTGTGAAACTGCTCCTATAGATTGCTTTTTAAACTTAGTAATTTTAAACAAACAGAAACAAATGCTCTATTTCCTCCACTATGATGATCAACTTCAAAAAAGACTTGTCATGACAATTATTTACTCTTTTTATTGCCTTCACACTGTTCTGAAGCATAGAAACTTCTATAAATATGGAATTATGAACTAACAGAAAGCCACTTGTAGAAGTAAACTATTCAAAGTTTAACAACTACCATTTTTTCATGTGCTTATTCCATTGGTTTTAATGATTAGTATTTTATTCTTTGGGGTAATTATGGGTCATATGAAGGCTCTGGAATTTTTTCTTCTTCCATTTGAAAATGCAGAACAGAGAACCACAGCAACAGGTAGAAACCTGCCAATTTGCAAAGCAGATGTTTCCTGGTAGAACTGTCAGGTCGAGAAAGTACACAGTAAACTACCTCAAAAATAAAATTTAACACTTCTGCAGTAGCAGCACAGGAGCGTACTTCCACTAGCCCAGCTGTGAATCATAAAGCTGAAATTTATAGTTATTTGACATTAGAATGGGTTATTATAACTTTATTGCTGCAATAAGTTCTGAAATTTGAAAATCACCATGAATAAAAAGGTAAGCAGTAATGAATGTTATCAAACAGCACACACTGTGTATCACCTTTCTGCTCGCTATTATGCCTTTTGCTTCTTATCTTCTGCTACCTGACCTCTGTTCCAGCTTTCTTCATGAAAATGCTGAATAATGCAGTAGGGGTATATTTAAGAACACCATGAGTTTCTGTTACATGCCAATTAAATCCTCCCCTTCCTACTACAAGTTTTTGATCTCAAAACCAGGAACGCATTTCCTACTTTTCAATTGCATTTATTTCAAATAGCACAAATGACATGACCTAATTTCCCTCAAATGCTTCTTTACCCTAAAGGAAAAACGACCTTAACAGGACTTATGTTTGTGAGGGAGACAGCACAACAACAATGGTAAAGATAAAAAAATCAAAGTACAAGGTGTATATTTAGTTTCTACACGACCAATCTAATTTATATGCCCTTTAGCACCCCTCATCTAGATGCAAGTACCATAACTTGTTGTTAAAAATGTATTCTGAGGCTCATCTACTGGTTGCTACAACGTTCGAGATGTTTTAGGAAAAGCAAAAGCCAAAACAAAGCAGGAAATAACAGCTTTAGCATTACACTGAGAAAATTGCTACTGTAGACAATCGTGATCACATTTTTTAAAATACACAGATACACACAGGTATTTGCGGGCGGGAAGGAAGCAAGAGCATAAGAAAGAGTCACAATTTTATTAGACTGGCAAGGGGTCAAGCGAGGGCAATGATCATGCCCAAGTACTGTTTAGGAGGCCTACTCTACTTTGCCATCCGAGACAGGGGAAACATGACAGTGGTCCTCTATAGACAATACTTTTCAAATGGGGGTTATGAACTAACTCTAAGGTTAGGAAATGCAGTTTTCTAGGGGAGAAACTTCAAGTAACAGATGACTTTATTCAAGAGTTGATCTTCTGGAAACAAACTCAGATTGCCAGAAAATGCACACCACATATCTAGTCAGCTTCTGAACTCTCAAACTCGAATGGCAACACAAGATCCTCTCTGTGTTAATGGATATATCCCTCTAGTTTTCTTCTCAAAAATTATAAGCTACTTCCAATGAAGAAATTATACACAAACTAAAAATTAGTATCAAACTTTATTAATGCAGCAATGCTTTGCAAAAAACAAACCAAACCCCTGGTAGTCCAAGTAGGTATAACACCACAAAACAAACATCATGCATTTACCTTCTTCCTCATGTACTCTTTTCCATTTATCTTACTGATCAGAACACAAGAAAAAAGATCCCAAACTTTTTTCATACCCTTTTTCATTTCAGCTCTATGCTAAACCAAGTGTTTAAACAACTCTTGAAGTGTTTAAACAGCTCTTTAAACAACACTTCTTCCATGCACAGGAGCAATGCATCCCCCTGAGAAAGAAATATAGCAAAGGAGGCAGGAGACCTGCATGGTTAAACAAGGAGCTTCTAGCGGAGATCAGGCAGAAGAGAAAGGTCCATGGAATGTGGAAAGAGGGACAGGCCACTTGGGAAGAGTACAGGAACGTGGTCAGAGCGTGCAGGGATGCGACGAGGAAGGCCAAGGCTCACCTGGAATTGAAGCTGGCAAGGGATGTCAAAAACAACAAGAAGGGCTTCTTCAACTACATCAGCAGCAAAAGAAAGGCTAGGGACAACGTGGGGCCGCTGCTGAATGAGGGGGCTGTCCTGGTGAGACGGAGGATGCGGAGAAGGCAGAGCTACTGAATGCCTTCTTTGCTTCAGTCTTCAGTGCTAAGACTGGCCCTCAGGAATCCCAGGCCCCGGAGGTAAGAGAAGAAGCCTACAAAGAGGACGACTTTCCCTTGGTCGAGGAGGACTGGGTGAGGGATCGCTTAAGTGATCTGGATGTCCACAAATCCATGGGCCCCGATGGAATGCACCCACGAGTGCTGAGGGAGCTGGCGGATGTCATTGCTGAGCCACTCTCCATCATCTTTGAGAGGTCCTGGAAGACAGGAGAGGTGCCCGAGGACTGGAGAAAGGCCAATGTCACTCCAATCTTCAAAAAGGGCAAGAAGGAGGACCCAGGGAACTACAGGCCGGTCAGCCTCACCTCCATCCCGGGAAAGGTGATGGAGCAGCTTATCCTGGAGGCCATCATCAAGCAAGTGGAAGAAAAGAAGGTTATCAGGAATAGTCAGCATGGATTCACCAAGGGGAAATCATGCCTGACCAATCTGATAGCTTTCTACAATGACAGGACTGGCTGGGTAGATGAAGGGAGAGCC